TGTTATATTTTAGCGTCCTGTTGCACTCATTTAAGTCCATGATTTATTTAATCCGTCTTGCAGTGCATACACTCATTTAACTCCTTCTCTCCCTCGCACTACATGTTTCGGCATAATAATGCCATCTTCAGGTGCTTACCCATCCACGTCAAACCAGTTCATTGCATGCCATGTTCACACATTAAAATAACTAAAATATGTATCTATCATATACATTGTCAAACGTTAAAATATTAAAATTGTTCAGGATACCACATCGCTACGTCGCCCCTCACTACGTCAGTCATGCCCATTCTCCTTTGTTGGAGCACTCGTTCACTATCTTGTGTGTTGTGCTTTTGTTGTGTCGTGCTCCTGCAACTGCGTGTGTTATACTCATAACACGTATAGTAGGAAAGAAGATAAATGAGTCACATGTGTTGGACAAAGGTGTTAGCCAGCAAACTGTTGCCCAGGAGTTTGCTATAGCAGAAATTAGTAGTTGGTAACAAATATGGATCTGTAGGCTTGGGAGAGGAGCAGCAGCAAAAGGAAAGAAGAACATGAATCTTAATATCCTTGTAAAAAACGTTTCAAGAAATGTAGTGCATTAGAATTTTCAGTTACAGGGTCAGTAATGCGTGGTAACTATGGACACAAAAATGTAGAATGTAGCACTGTTTTGTATAGGTTGGCCATATTTGAGTGGAACCATAAGTGGCCATTGTAGACAGGTTTCATTGTACCACACAGTGACCGCTTGCCCTCAGTATATTAACTGGATGCACATTTTACATATTTAAAAAATTTTCATTGTGGTGAAATGTTTTATTTTTGTAGGAGGTCCACAACCCCCACAACAGCCAGGGCAGCAGCCGTATAACTATCCAAGCTATGGTGGATATGGTGGGCAGCCTGGTGGACCAGACAATCAGTGAATGACCAGTCTACATAAAAGAAGAAAAGTGGAGAATAGTAACCGTAAGTAATGAAGCTACGCGGAGCTATTGCTATGAATCTGTAGAGTAGATGGGCTGAAGGATACTATTACATTCAGGAGTAATTTAAATGGTAATGAAGCCAGTGACTATCTTCATGAGTAGGTGTTTTATTTTATTGTGGACCTAGAAATACAATTTCCACAATAGAATTTAATTTTTGTAATCTTGAATGGGGTTAAAACTGTATAAATATATATTTCTTGGACATTCTTAATGGGAATGTAAAAGTCTGCCTGTGTGTCAGTGGCTGAATCATATGCACAAGCCAAACATGCTCCATGCTCCAGATTTGGGGTTTGCACTTCAAATGCTGACTGTGGTATGCAGGAGTATATTTTTCATTGTCATCGTTATGTCATTACTCCTGAAAATCTGGTAACAACAGATAGAAGGTGGTCACAGGATAAAGTTGTGCTTGTCAGTAGCTGGATCTTAATGAATGGTTAGTGACATTATTTCAAAAGTACTCCCCCAGAAAGTGATGGCATTAATATGTATGGTCCCTTAGAAGGTTAAGTAGTGATTACATTGTTTGGGTCATGCAGTCATCGATGTTAAGTTCTTGGAGCTCCCTGTGCTCAAAAGGGGTTGTGTAACAGTGGTAGTAGTTGTACAGATAGGATACTTGATAACACTGGTGGTCATGCAGTCATATACTTGTAGGTGTGTTTGTGGAGTTTGTGCCCAGTGCCTCCTTAAATAATTTTCAACATTAGTCTGTTCAAGTGGAAAAAGCTGCCCAAAAAGTTGGTTTTCTACTTAGTAATTGAAGTTGCTGATTGTTATTATCTTGCCACTGAATAGACACTGACAGATCCTGCAGCTGTGTGTGCCAGAGTGAGATTAGTCATTTGAAGTATTTGATGAGTGCAGCAGGTAATCCCCATTTAGTCTCTGTAGGAGAATTGAATGGTGCGCTTGTGTGGTTAGTGCTCTTCTTTGTGTTCTGGAGGTTCAGAATTCAATTCTTAACCCAGAGATCAGCTGTCCTAATAAGGTTTTTGTGGTTTCCCTCACTTCCTCTAGGTAGATGCTGGGACAGTACCTTAAATTAAGCTGTGGCCAACCCCACATCATTTTCAATTCATTATTCAGTAATAATATTCAGCAAGATTTGAGGTTTTCACGGCGGTGACTATGAAGAAAGCAGTCTTCTGGGATGTGGCACCGTGTAGATGTGGCCACGATGAATGAATGCCCTCACAAGATTAATGTTTGTGCGTGTTCTCACAGAGGCAGGGTGTCCATATCACAGTTCATCTTCTGCCATTTCTCGCCCATTTACAAAGTCTTTGTGCTACCAGAATACTTCAGCATGTGATACAGAATCATTGCCTGATGCTTTGGAACCTTTTCATAGGTATCAGTAGCACCCTTCCCCAGCTTGCGTGACGTTGCTCGAGATTATTATTCTTCATTTTTGTGACACTGTAACAAAACAGACATCTTCACAAACTCTGGTGGTAGAGGATGTAGCTATCATCTCGTAGTGGTCTTGGTGCCTCAGTGTTCCCAGTTGTCACACTACAAAATTAATCTCATCACCTTGTTAACGTCATGTACATAAATTCACTTATTACTGAATCGTCATTTTTATATGTGAAAGAATGGATGCAGTGATTCCTAGTCAGTTGTGACTTCATTTCCCCAGCTTTTTGTAAGGGTAAGAGTGTGTTAGGTATAAAAAATGACCTTCATTTCTGCCTGCAACTTTCTTCCAAGCAATTTTTATTTTGATACGTATTTAGGAAACACATTTCAAGTACAGTGCCTGTTACTGTCCACTTCTAACCAGAATTGAAGTACGTTGTCAAATTTTATAAAAACTCCCAAATATCAAATTTCAAGAAAATCCATGTAGTGGTTCATGAGTTACATGCAGATGAATCCTTTGTAACAGGCATTTTTACAAATTTCATAAGCTGTCATATCAAGGTTGCACTGTATTTATGCACATTGTCACAGTTTTCATGCAGGTTTTTAAATTCTAAAATTGGAACATGATTGCAGCATGAAGCATTTTGATAAAGATTAAATTTGTTGTAAATTTTGAATTTTGTGCCCCACCCCCTTTTTATTTAAGTTAGTTACGAGTTAGCCAGCAGTGAGACACTCAACCAGTCAGTTGTAGTAAAGCCTTCGCAGGCCAAGTAATTGTAATACTGCAGATGGCAGTAGCTGTGAGATTGTAAACTGTGTGATTGTAGGAGCAAGCGTGAAATAAAATTCGCTATATCAAATATATAAGTGACTGAGCCTGTTTAAGTTGATAATTGCAGTATTTCCAGGTACAGAGGTTTCCTGTTTAAGAAGTTAGATTTATGAACTCGTGCCAAAACTTTCCTAAGGATAATGTTAAATTTTTCTGTGTGTAAAGTTTTTGTATAAAAATTTTCCCTCTTAAGAAGTTCATTTTATCTGAAATTTAAACAGAAATCTTCCATTTAATATGTTTTAAATAATGCTGATGAATTGCACACTTTGTGCAAGTTTGATTGTAATGTGTTTAAAAGGCTTTAGAACCACTGTTCATTCCTTGACAGTTAAACTGTACCATGGTTGATAATCTAAGATAATTCTGACAACAGCTTCCTTCTCCTAACTTCTTCTGATGCCAAAGTTTATTCTGCTCTTTCTGCAACACATTGTTGGGTGAATGATGGAACAATTGTATTCCTTGCTTAGATTTGCAGGACTCACAATTAAAAGATTAGGGCATGGCTATGCATGGAGTCAGAGGTTAATATTACTATTTGGAATAGCAGAAGGTTAACATGCATTATATATTGTTTTTTCAGGCATAATTTTCATTTCAGCACCACAAGTTTTGTTAATTATGGACAAGAAATTACATTGTAGGCAGTTCATATCTGCAACAGCAGATATGCCTATGCTGTGATGTGAGATAAATTTCTGGAATTATTGTTTACTTAACAGTTACTTGCAGCCTCTGTTGTAGAGAAAACATTCTTAACTGTTCATTATGATGCAGTAACCTTGAAAACCACTATTATGATCCACTTTTACTTTGTTAAATTTATGGACAATAGTATGTATGTGCTATATTGTAACATTTTGTTAAAAGGACTGAAATGATTGTTTGTGCTTGTCGGGTATAATATTAACTGCTAGATTTTCCCCGAGTTATATCTTGAAATTTTTTGTTTGAGTTTTTTCAACACCAATAGAAAATTTACATTCTGTTCCCCCATTTTCATTCTTCTCTGTGAAACTAACAATTATTTACATAAACAGTATTTTTTGCAAGTATGTGATATGTATTTGTATTTATGTTTCACATTGGATAGATTCAGTCATGTCATCGCCCTAAAATAATGTACCCTCTTGTACACCTTGAATTGTGCATGATGGAATTGCAGAATGAATGTCTTATGCCCCCAGATCATCAATTTTAATGACTTTGAAGTAGTTTGGTACCAGTAATGGCAAATGTACTGTTGTTAAGCATGAGGAAAACATGATTTGTAGTGTGGGTGGTTACTAATGTTTTGGATTAACCTGCTGACTTCCGAGTAGAAGAGATAAGTTCATCCAGAACACTGGTAACAACCTACCTGGTTACAGTGTCATAGCCCAGAACCCTACAGTCTTAGTCTTCCCTGCAATGAAAATTTTAGAGCACAAATGATTACAATTAATAATTTGGACAAATAATGTTCATTCCCCTTTCATTGTGTATAGAAATGAAATTTTGGATTGTAATTGAGACTACCACTTAGGAATGGCCTAACCAATCAAAATCATGGTGACCTTAATCCATATATGTTGGGGGGGGGGATGATAAATATGCATGTGTTGTGCAAATTTTTTGGTTCTATTTTTGACTTCATTGTCAGTTACTTCTCTGTTTCAAGTTTTCTTGTAATGTGAACTTGCAATTGCTGTGCCTATAAATTGAACAGTATTGAAAGTCAGACCATGTAAACATTTTACATACTTAGTATGTATTCCCCGACCACCTCTGTTGTCTAGTGGTTAGGGGTTCCAGGTTCGATTTCTGGTGCTACCAGTTTTTCTGATAAGTAGTGGGTCTGGAATGGAGTCCACTCAGCCTTGTTAGGATAATTAAGGAGCTATTTCAAGGAAATAATGGCTCCGGTCAAGAAAACCGAGATTAATGGCTGTAGGGATCCTTTGTGCTGACCACATGACACCCTATCTCTGCTAAAGTTGGCACTAACTTTGCCAACAAGTGGTGGTCGCTCTGTCGGTATAGTTCGCTTATGGACTACAGGCCACGGAGTTTGTTTTTGTACATATCCCCCCCCCCAATTTCATTATTACTCCAAGAAGCAGTAAGTAGAACAATTTCTGTGATTGTACGTGCTCACCACATTACACTTGTCTCGGCATGAGACAGCCTATGGAGAGATATAAAGCTTTTTAGCCCTCTGCTCACAGCAAACTGATTTGATTGACTCAGCATGCTTTTGTAGAAACTGCAATAGTAAAGATATTAGCTCATTAGTATAGCATTTCTGTCAGTAGATCAGATCAGGTGTGATACATCAGTGTTTAGAGGAAAGAATGGGCTTTCGCAGGATAATCCCAAAATGTTTGGAGGTTATTTGAGGCCAGTGTTGTGGGATTTCTGTGCAGCTGCACTTTACAATCAGCTTTGGCATATTTAGTTGGTAGTGCTGTGAGGAGGCTTGACAGTCAAAGGGTTAAAGGCCATTGACCTCCTGAAGTTGGAAACAGGAATTGTCAAGTTACTGGACCAAATTAAAAAAAAATGTTTTGTAGGGTAAAAAAGGCAGATTGTTAATAAATAGTGAAGTATGTCACCACTTTGTGTTCAGGGGTTTTCATTATGATGTTATGCATGTGCATGTTATTTAAGAAGCGTTATGTTTGTGATCCCACCTTTTCATGACTCACAAATTGGGTTAATATTATTGGTAATTTTTTGGGGGAAAACAAGACTAGTTTTTAGTGTTAAGTCTTGTGAATATAAATATGTTTATGCCAGCAAGAAAGTACCAAAGTTATGGAATTTATGGTTAGAAATTACCTGTTATCCCGTTTCAACATATTTTACACGAGGAAAGGGTATAAAATGTGATGTAGCATTTTCAGTTTGACAGATACTGTGGCACGTTTGATTTTCTGTATTTGCATATATAGGCATCCAGATTTTATTTTTACATTTCTCATGTTTACCCAGTATTTGGTTAGGTAACTGATACAGCCCAAGTACTTGAGTGTTAATTAGATATGCTAGCTGTGGCTTTAATAAAATACAGTCCTGCAGAACAGATCTGTTAAGTGTTGTTTTATCAAAATGCCATTAAGGTACACATGAACCACGTTTTTCACGCAGATCCACATTTCTCACATGTTACTTGCACACCCCAAGCGGTACCATTTCCTCCGTTGTGTTTCTTGTATGCTTGCTATGCCCCCTGCTCCAGAAAATCTAGCGAGCCAAGGTTGGTCGATGTGGGTATGTGGGAACATTCAAACTTTCACCATCAGTCTCTGGGAAATGCCCTATAGCAAATCACCAGATGTTTTGGTTGGCTCCCTAATCTGTATTAGGAGCCTTCATGCAACTTGGTGAGTATGGTGTTGCTGAACAGGTAGGTTACAGAGATGGTTCTATTTGTAATGGATGGTTGACTTCAGCAGTATTAATGATACTTTATTCTTATGACTGTGATCATAATGTGTTTGCCTAGGTATGCAACAGAGTTTGAATATCATTCACTTGTGTCGTCTGTGAAGACTGAGCTGCTTGCATATGATTTTTACTTGGATACTGGAACATGATTATTTTTATATACAATGTATTGCCCATGATATGTGTCTTGTGTATATTAATGTTTGCCATTGAGCACACTGATAGGTTCCTTCATACACTGATGAGGTTATTATGCAAAACTTGTATGTTGAAATCATCCATTGTCAAGTAGGATCATTATAAGTGTTTCAGTATGCAGCGCCATGTGATATGCAATAGTTTATTTATATTAGAAAATTCCACTAATATGCTTTCTTCACATTTTCAGGACAATCACGTTTACATGATAGGAATTTTACATGTATATATATGTTGTGTGTTTTGCATTTCCTTTCAGATAATTTCATCTTCACTGGTTGGTTGATCAAAACACAAAATGTGAAATGCCCCCTATCCAGAATAGTGCAAATATGAACATCCACAGATTTTACGTGTATTGTGTTCTGTTAGAGAATATTTGTGAGGGCTGAGCGAGGTAACATTATTATTATGTGGACATTTTGCGGATATAAAGCACTTGATTTGTCTCCTTGCTTGTCTCGTATGATTTTCTTTTCTTAATATTTATGTTTAAGTGATGATGACAAAACTGTTAGGAGTGGCAGTGTATTTCAGTATAAATGCTGCTACCCTCTGCCATATTTGCTTCCCCTATGCATAAGGGTGTAATGACTATTCTTGTGTTATGCTGTGTAATAATAGTATAAGATATAAAACAATATTCCTCTGATGTTTAATTTCCATTTTTACTTGGTATGGTTCTTAATAAATATGTTTAATTTTTGTTGGTTACTTTGTGTATGGCAGGGGAAAAGTATGGTAACATATGATTGAGTGAAACCTGCAATTTGTAATTCAGCAGATTAGTATGTTCAGCTGTTAAAATTGCTGTACAATTTTTTTGTGTTTCCTACATGCTATTGTATGTATGTGAGTGTTACTGAGAAAAGGGGTAGTTATTTTCGTGGGAGGTGTCGAGTTGACCGTAGTAATTCTGTAGTGTGTGGTATGCGAGCGAAAGGTGCTGGATATAACAACATGGATGGAGTTGTACACTTGATGGTCAGTCCTGGATCTTGAAATGGAGAGCGGATGTCTCTAAGAGGGCAACAATATTCCATTTGTGGTCATACCCTGTGCAGAGAGGAAAAATGAAATAACCCACCTAGTTAAAAGAACAGGTAATTCTTATACAGCATAATGCTTATCCAGTTATTTCGCCCACTACTCACAATCATATAACTGGGGCATTGACAGAGTTGTAACAGGGGAGGAATAAAGTTTGATCTGAGGTGATTTACTTTTTTGATTTTCTTATGTTAAGAATTCTGATGATTTGTATTTTTAAACAATATTGATATATTTTCCCACTATGCAGTATTGGAAGTTTAGATTGCAGGTAAATTGTGAGTAATGGACGCATACATATTTGCACCAGCACTATAAATTACAAGATCATTAATGTAAATCAGGGTTGGAATTGACTGTTGGAAGCCACAGCTGTTACAAATAAGAATTTTGGTGACTTCACATAGTAGTAATATGCATTTAGAAACTAGTTAGCTTTGAGAATATACGTGATATATTCAAATTTTAATACTGTATAATAAAAATATTATTTTACAATTTTGTTAAAGTGTCATGGAACATTGCTGTGAACATCTTTACCTAAAACCTTCATTCTTTCATTTTCCCAGTCATTAGATATTTTGAGGTACAAACGGGTGTGGCATTCAAAGTTTTATCTTTAGGACATAAAAGCAATTGCAAATTTTGATTGCTCTTTATAGCTCATTTGGCCATAGATAACATGTGAATAGTTGGTGCAGATATCTAGAATAGCATATAAAAATATCGTACTATTACATGACTAGATAATGATAAACAAGTGATGTTCATGATCTTATCAGACATAAATTAATTTTACTTCTAAAATAACAATAGTGTAACTTTTTCCTAATTTTTATTAGAATTAAAAATGTATGAATTTCCTGTGCATGTATTTTTTTTCCCCCCAGCCTTAAACAAGAAGGCTTTTCTGAATGTTAATACCTGCTGCTTTTAAACTTCCTGTGATTCATGTGGGGCAATAAAAGGTATATTGTGTACAGTGAATTGGTTTGGAGGAGTGGATGGGAAATGGGCTTATACGTTCAGTTCTTTTATTATTTTTCTGGAGAGTGATAACAAATGCCAGTCTAACAATAAGATGAGTGGAAAGATTTTTGAAATACATTATTTGCAACTTAGATTCCATGGTCCCAGATTGCCTAAACAAGTGGTTAGCAGTCCTGCTTGAGCTATCATGACTGGTTTGCATGGTTTCTGCCCTCTCCCCAGGCAGTGCCATGGCAGCGCTTTAAGGTTGGATTGTGACTGCTTGTCATTTCCAGTTCTTTATTCACTAATCCTATAATTTGACACTGTATATGAGCTGTTGAAATCCATGTTAAGTTAATGGTAAGTAAGCAAATGTAAGTGTATGTGTATATATATATATACACACATTGCGTATCTTGATAGCCTTTAATTCCTCCTAGAGACTGTCCTGAATGAGGTTTTTGTGGTGTTCCATAGTCCCTTCTGGCAAATGCCCAAATGGTTGTTGGCTGCTTCATTCTACATCCTTTTCAGTTTTTATTCCTTGTCACGTCTAATTCAAGGTATATAGCCTGAGCTGCTGATAGCATCAGTGAATAAACAAGAAATAAATAACATAAATAAGTGGATTGGCCCATGTTGGTTATTGCTCATGCATTTATTATAATGGGAAAATTCAGGTATATTTCTTTACATCATTTAATATTGCCCAACAGAAACATGAACTCTGCTTATGCCGATGTTAATTTGTATGGCAAAAGCACATATACAGTATAGAGAGGCACAGAAACTGTTAAATGCTGGCAGGGAGCCAGGTGTAGAAGCCAACACAGGGAAGACTAAGTTAATGTGTTATCAGGACAAAAACATATGAGAGTTCATAAATCCTTTGTAAATGTGTCAGGGAGTCAGATTCAGATAGCATTCAGTAAGAAGTGAGCAGAAGCTTGAGGAATTCTTGCTAGCATTTGGTTCAGAATCTTTTTATCTTCTAGTCTGCTCTGTATGAGGATCAAATTCAGTGTCCATTATTAGGGGAAGATTGTGGTTTATGGGTTTTGAGGAAAGGGGTGCTTGACCTGTGAGGAAGTAAGAGGATGCTAGAGAAAATTTGTGTAAATAAGAGCATAATCTTCTCTCTATAAGAATGTGATGAGGATCAGATCATGGAAGAAGAGATGGCAGGGCATATAACAGCATGGTCAAGAAAAGTGCATACGAGTTCTAGCCAGACCGTGCAGGGAAGAGATCACATGATACAGGAAGACTTAGGTTGTGGTTACAGGGAATGCATAGTCTGACAACTTTCCATTTGGATGACCTTGGTGGAAGTTGGATATAGTCGCATGAACAGGTTAAAACTTGCATGTGCGGTTGCAGTAACTCTGTTCATGCAGAGTCTCGTGATGCTTTGGTCCAGTTTGATGAATCAGATTTGTTTGGTTTTCATTCATTGTGTTATGTAGTCTTCTGTTCCTATATTTGTAATTGATGTTGAGAAATTAGTATGCTGCTTGTAAGAAAGATTACCCCTGTGGAATTTTAGTGATGGTTTAAACAGAAATGTTGAAAACAAACTGGACTGAAGTGGGATAGGAGCTGAATGTTTCAGGTGAGTAACAGTTTTTTTATTTAGATTTTGCTGATATACAGTATGCGCCAAAAAGTGCAGTGCTGAACGCACATGTGTTTGTTGATGGGGCATAGCTCCAGCCGCACGTGTTCCCAGTAATGAAAAGGAAGTTGTGTTGTGCAGTTGTTGGAAATGGTTCTCTCGATGGAGGAAAAAGTGTTCATAGTTCAGTATTATTTCCACTCATACTGAAGTGGTCGTGAAGGGGACCTAGTTTGAAAAAGGTGACAGAACAGTTCCAAGAGAGATTTGATAAGACGGCACCAAGTAACACAGTTATGCTGTCTATTATGAAATTTCGCCCTTCTCATCAACGGAAGGGGAAGTATGGTCAGCCAGTAACTGTTTCGACAGAAGAGAATCATGCACATGTTCTTCAGCGGGTGCGGTATTTGCCATGATGAACGGCCTTGAAACTGAATGGCAGCGATATGTCCGTTCGCCGATCGTTTAAGGACAGGTGGATTTCCATACCAGATACAGGTCGGACAATGCTTGACAGAGTCAGATATGAGAACCAGGATGGTGTATTGTGGAACATTTTTGGCCATGGTGTATGAGGATTCAGATTTCTTGAGAAATGTATGGTCCTCCGACAAAAGTCACATTCACTTGGATGTCTACATCAACCGCCAGACAACTCGCTTCCTTGGTTTTGAGCGGCCATATGTTATTGTCCAGAAGCCGCTACATAGTACATGTGTGACGATATGGTGTGCGGTCTGAGCACACAGTATATTAGGCTCCTCTTTCATTGAGGATGAGGAAGGCAATGCTATTACCGTCAGCTCTTACCCATCACGTTATGCATAGCATAGTAAATCAACACGCTAATAGTGTGTGTGTTGGTTTCTTTCAGGAGAAATAAACTCAGATGACAGAAAGGTAATATTGTTCGTCTTTTCATTTCAGTATATTTTTGGCGCATACTGTATTTAAATGACAGAATAGCATGTTACTGTATTTTAAAGCAATCTCATAGAAATAAGTGAAAATACTTGTCCTCATGTTCACACATGTAGTGTGCTGCTCTTTCCATTTTTTTATCAGCCTAAAGATCTTCAATTGCAAGCACATATGTGAATCCTGTAGGAGAACAGAAATGTTGTTTGAAAGGGGCTCATTTGTTTTGATTGCTCAGTTATGTTGTCTCCCAGGCCGCGCCATAGCTGAAGCAGTTAGTTGCTGGCTTTCCACCACGGTGGCCTGGGTTCAATCCCGGGTCTGGTCACGTTGGATTTGTGATGGACAAAGTGATGCTGGGGCACGCTTTCTCAGAGTACTTTGGTTTCCCCTGCCAATCTTCATTCCACCAGTTGCTCCACAATCACCCTCACCTATCATCTGGGGCTGGTACAATAGGCCAGAAGTGACTGCAGTACAAGGGACTTAGTCCCACCCCACTAGCAATAAAAAAATTTCTCCCAACTCCAGGTTAATTACATTGTAATGCCATTTTCTTATGAAAGTTCCTGGGGTGGCCCTTCTGTATGTATAATGTTGTTGCAAAGAAGGTGTACGCATTTCACGATACAATACTGCATTATCTGAGTGAGCTATCTCTTCCATGGAGATTGTCCATTTTGCTGATATATTGGCACATTCTGCATGCTTTGGACTCTTATGTACTAGTTCAGTATGGCTTCTTCAGCATTTCACTCTTGCCTAGAATATGGTCTCATCATGTACTCCTTCAATGGACGCGTCTTTGTCACCCAATGGAAAGTGTGGAAGCTTAAATTCAGTTTCTGGAAGACACTTTTTAGGAGTAATGAAAGTTCTTCACTGAAATCTGAAAAATGCATTTTGTCACTTTGCTCTCCGTGGTTGCAGAAGTTATTGCAAATTAATTTATGTTTTGCATCTGCTAATGCTTGAAGAACCATGGAATGGTACTGATTTTAATTGTGTTACATTGAAGCTGCCTAGGTGGTAACTCAGAGTATAATGTTTCTGAAAGATGTTATTGCTTCCAGAATGACAGATTGAAATACTGCTTAATGGCACTGTTGAAGATGGTTAAGAAAATTGTGTAGCATTGCAAAAAGAAACGATGTTTATGAGAAAATTATAGCATTGGAAGAAGTGAAACTGAGTTTTCACAAATTCGCATCTCACCACAAAAATGACAGTGATTATGATTTCCTCATGAGCTTGCCTGCCACCTTCTGATATTTTCACCAGGCAGGAAGTTATATCTAAAAATGAAATTACAGGAAGTTCTCTTAAATGAGGAAGAATACCAGAGGTGTTTCAGGTTTAGAACCCTATTCCCAGAGCAAATGACTGTCACAACATTATCCAGGGCTTAATAGTCTCAGCATTCACTGCAAACATTTTTCTGTATATTCACCTGTGTATAAGGTATTTTCTTGCATTCTTTAAAACTGTGTTTCAGAATTCTAACATTGCACCAAATCTATTTTAATTTTTTGCAAGCAATAAAAGTCTGGTATATTTGTTATCTGCTTTTGTGCGGGAATTAATTTTGATATTAACTTGTCTCAGCTTGAAACTAATTTTTTCTTTGGATTTTCTAAAATAGCTCTGCTCATTAAGCTTGTCTAGAATTTGATCAGAATAGAGTGGAAAGTGCCTGGCAGCATGTGAAAATATTTGTGGAACTTGTTTGGTTCTAATAAATCATGATGTAATATATAAAAATTCACCATTAATCTGGCTTACTGAGTATTCTCCACTTGCTTCCATAAGAACTTCAGACTGTTATGTCTAAAAGGAATATTATTGTATTGTGATTCAAAGAACAGATTAGAGTGCCTGACACGGAAGTCACCTGTAATATAACCACATTCGTTGTTTGACCAGTATCAGACAAAGTCATTCAAATGAAATGTCATCAGAATTTTCATTCAGTGTATCCATATGCTTAGGTTTGAGGATGATATTGAAATGGGTCGCAAAAAGTAAGTTGGAAATTGTGCATTTGGATTCATATAACTTGGGATGGGGACTGTTTGTGGGTTCTTGGGAATGCAGTAATGAACCTTTGTCCCCCATAAAATGCAAGAAATTTCTTGTGAGTGTTGGCTTCTCAAGAAGGACTCTGCTGCATGGATTTTTTTTTCCTTATATGTGTGTGAGGTGGGGCTAAGTCCCTTGTTCTGTGGCCACTTCTGGCCAATTGTACCAGCCCCAGATGATAGGTGAGGGTGATTGTGGAGCAGTTGGTGGAATGAAGATTGGCAGGGGAAACCGAAGTACTCTTGAGAAAACCTGCCCCAGCACCACTTTGTGCACCACA